TCCCCCCCCCCCCCCCGCAAAAAAAAGGTTATCCTTCAGCTGTCCTCGTGTATTTGAGTATAAATTTCCACTGGTCCCCTTAACATCCTAGCCATCATACATTGTGTCGCCTGTCTACATTGATTCAAGAAGGTTTATCTTCCTATTAGCTTCCACTAGTCTATGAATAACTTTTGTATTCGAACCCCCTTCTTACAGACATGGTATCATAGATTTTTGTCCGTGCATGCTCCTTTAGTGTTCTAAGCCATTTCTTCTTGGCAAGTTACATGTTTGTCATATATATGATATAGTGCACTCTGAACAAACAAATGGAGCTAATTTATCAATTATGAGGGCTAAAAAGCTCAAAATTTTCTATTACAGAATCCACTTACTTGCATGTAGAATGTGTTAAGTCATTGTATCCATCCCTGCACCGAAAATTGGAGTTATCAAAAGGAATACATTGTGCTACCAAACATTTGCAATACAAAAAACAAAGTGGATTGCAGCACAAACACCACGGAGATGATTTCATCAGAAAATCATACAGAGGACATTCACCATAACACTAAAAACATGACTTCCTATACAAATGAAAAATGATAAGTTCATAGTTTCGTTATTTTAATTTAAAACAAGATCTTTTTTTATGACATTAAAACAAGATCATTTTAACATCCTAAAGCTTTAATTAGCTCATTGTATTTGGACAGTAAGGAAGTTCCCGACATGCAATAACACAAGCAACAGTCTACATTACATTGATTTTGAGGTAGGGCAATGCTAATGTGACATAATCATTGCACCCAAAACCAATAAGAGGAAAAGCAACACCTTAAAACAGCAGCAGCCAACAATTTGTGCTTAGCACTCAAATATGTAAGAATTTAATGCTAATAATCAGCTTCATCACATATCAGAACTAGAAAGCTCATCAATAGGAAAATCTTTCCAATTGGCTGCACAAAGTAAAACCCACTCTGATGAAAGAGATAGTAGACCATCAAAAAAGTAGCACAGTATGTATACAGAAGCATGTTTATAAGTTCTTTTGGGTTATAAAGAAAAAATGCTGAAAGAATGTCAAACACTTAATGAGATTCTTATGGCCATATCATTAAGGGGAATACATGAAATCTCCAGGGTGACTGAACATTTTAGGTAGACCATGACGACAACAACAACAATAACAACATTTTAGGTAGACCACGACATACTTTTTATAATGCGGAGCATCTCTGTCAAGTCGAGCAAGGGTTCCAGCTAAAATAGACACCTGCATAAATCCAGATTAAAGCAAAGAGAAATAGGATATGAAAATTTCTTAAAAAAATATAGCCCCTCAAAAACAATCAAAAGGATGCAACGAAAGGAAAGACAGAGCCATATGTCAGCATTCAACAATCAAAAGCATAGTTTACAAGCAGATTACACATCAAAGAGTTATGCATCCCCTCTACACGTTTTAAGTGATATCAGGCCTCCAAAGTTTTTCTCGAGTCATAATGCCTCCATCATGGGCATTTTTCGACAGGTACGCCACCTCCATCAAAGTTACTAAGAGTCGGAACACTCATTCCAGAAAGTTCTAACCCATTTACTGATTCTTTGAAGATGCTATAACGAGTAGGCAAAGTTTCATTTCATTCCCTTCTGATCAATTACAGGAAACATTAGTCATAATGTGACTGAATATGACAAGTTCAGTAGAATAATAATGTAAAAAGGTCCTTTCATGTAAAAAGTATTCCGCTTGGATACATCATTCATAAAGCAAGGTAGGGAAATGAATAAAACCTCATCCACATACCTTCTCTCCACTGTCATTACCAACAACCCTGATTTCTAGTCCTACACAAGCATCCTCCGGAGCAAGGGGAATCTCTTCATAGCTCAAAAATTGTATTGCAGCAGGATCATAACGGAAGAATCCGAAGTCATGAACCTAAAAGGCGATCAATAAGTTTCACTCATGACAAAATAAATAAGTATGGAATATGATTGTCAAGTATGCTTCAGCAATTCTCAATGTCCTTATAAACCTATGTATAACAACAAATAGGAGTCAACACAGACATAGTTCTTCTGCTTCATTTTGTATGGTACACTTAACTTCTAGTTTTTTTCATAAAGAATGACACATTTTTTATATTTGGAAACTCTTAACTTTTAAACTTTCCATGTTACCCTTAATGGCATGCGCTTATAGTCATAAAAATTGTCAAGGCATGTAAAAGGCTATAAGTTCTAACGGTAACTTTGGTATGTGGTAAAAGTTGTTCTTTCTTCTGTGTCCAGTCAAATATAGCCTAATAAAATGAAAATGCGGGAGTATCACTAAGTGTTTCTATTTGTTATGGAGACCTTTAGTATACTACTGGATTGGGTAGTGGAAGGAGGAGTTATGACTTATCATTTGTTAAACAGATATGGATATGGGTGTGAGTACCTGAAATAGGCACGAATAAAGTGTCCGAATCATCATTGCTTTCATAAAATTTCAAGGGACCCAAATAAAAGTAAAGGAGTCAATGCTTTGATCCAACTAAAAAATATACACAGACAATTACTCAGAATTGTTGAAAATTAACTCATTTTCAATTAACAAGGTGAATTCAATCCATTGTTATTTTAAAATGTGTAATAACTGACATCAAAGTTTAAAATCTAAATAATTCAATAACTGGCATCTTGAAAAATGTGTAGGTTGTACACAGTTATTTTGTTAGTGAAAGTATTGAGAAACATCTCAAAAATGAGAAGACTTGCATTATATATTCAGACGAGGAATATAAAACTGAAAAGATAGCAAAGACGAGCTTGAAAATGAACTCACAGGGTCTCTATAAATGGGATAGATTGGTATCTCTTCACGGTTCACAAACATAGCTTCAGCCACCACGGGTCCTAGGAAGCAAATAACAATCAGCACTTCCATCCGACAAAGAACTGAACTTGAAAAGATATATATTTAATTTGCCGACTTTTTCAGTTACTAAAAACAAATTAATGCTTGTTATCACCAGGTTTTACAACATGTCGATTTGTAAGAATAATCCCGCGACGCTTATCAACGACGAAGCCCGTAGCATAACTTGCACCAGCAGCCTCGGTGTCAAATGCTCGGCAAGCATTGGTCCGGAGAACGACGACGGCGGGAACCACCTTGTCAAGAGCCTTTCGCCAATCTTCTGTGGTAGCGAGACTCTCCTTGAACGGAGGATCTATATCCATAGACAATTCCTCCTTCATTATACTCGATTCTGGTCCCAATGCTTCCTCGGATCCTAACCTCTCCAGCGAATCGCCCATTTCGAAACCCTAACTTCCCTCTCGGAGTATCAATGACGCAAAGACGAAAGACGAAAATGCTACTTATGATGCTGAGATATGTTGCCGACTCCGATGGAAGGGGAGAGAATATTCCGGCGAGGATGAAGGATGCTGTTCTCAACGAGTATTAGAAGATCGGCGGCGAGTGCTTTATTCAGTCATTCGTTTTTCTTTCTCCGATGCTTTATGTACAGAATATCCAATTACCAAAAAAAACCTCTACTTTTGTTTTCTTCACGTGTGCTAAACCCCGTTATCTGTATTTTGGTAATCCGTAATTAAGAAACCATAACGGTCTCTGTGTAATGACCTCGCATATATAGTCCCTTAAACTTGTCAAAACTTATCAGGTAGACTTCTTGAATTTGTTGATGTGGTCAATTAAGTCCCCTCGTGATATTTTGGCAAATGACTGTAAATTATTATTTTTTATAATATTTCTTTGAAGATATCTTATAAAATCACTCGAATAAAATCATAAACTTAAAGAAATAGCAATAGAGCGGGAGTGCAGGACTAATGATATGCCGTGTGGGGTAGAGCAGATTGAAATAATCTTTTTAAAAATAATGTATGGCGGCGGATTTGGGGTAAAAAAATAAAACCTAAAAGTTGCTTTATTTATGAATAATGTTGAAAAAATGTCATAATGATTTTTGAACTATTGAAATAGGTTTAGAATGAACGCTTAATTATATATTAGTTTTTTAATTATCTCAAATATTATTGAATTTGGTCTCTTTAACTATAAATTTATTGATTTTAATTTTTTTTTAAGTATTCAAAAAAATTCTCAGGTTTGGTCTCCATCTATTTTACAAATATCGTAGTTATATTAACAAAACACATGTTTTCGTGAAATTAAATATTTTATTCATTTTTTCAATTGTTTTTCTCTCCCTGCTACTTTTTCTTCCAATTACTCTTATGAAAATAACTTAATCTTAACAATTCAAAATAAAATGTCCCCTTCTTTAGCAGTAACAATTCATACTCATTGTAAAAAAAATAAAAAAATCATATAAAATAAGTAAAATATTTGATCTTATTATTCAAATTTCTCTACGTAACATAAAGTAAACAGAATAATAAAATTGATCTATTTCAAAATAAAACAAATCAAAAAAAAAGTTGCAAATCTACATTTTTGTAAATTTCAACTTCTAAAAAATTAAACAAACTCCCTTTAATAAAGTCATTGGAGTACAAAAAAATTGGAATCAAACTATGTGAGTAAAAAAACTTTAAATTTTATCCTCATTGCAAGAAATTCATTTTTATTAAATATAAATAAATATCTCTCTACACCTAACGGGTAATAACTTTTTTCTTTTTATAATAATTTTAGCATTTTTCAAGTCATTAGCACAATAATATACTTCATTTTATCATCTATTGAATAAAAATCAAATTTTTTTCTCTTTCCTCCTGAATTTTATTTTAAATCATTGAGGTTAAGATTCTTTTCTTACACGTAAGTTGAAGAAAAAGTAGTGTGGAAAAAGTAACAATTGAGAAATGGGTTAAAATTTTAATTTCATGGATGCATGAATTATGTTAATATAAACCTAAACTATTCTTATAAAAAAAATCAGAGACCAAATCTGATAAATTTTTGAATACTTAAAGAATTAAAATTAGTAAGTGTATAGTTAAGGGACTAAAAATGATAAATATATAGTTAAGGGGTCAAATTTAATGACATTTTAAATCGTTAAAGGATTAAATCTGATAAATATTTAATTAAAAACATATTTTAGACCTACTCCAATTATTTAGGAACCATTTATGACTTTTTTTTAGTGCATAAAGTTCTTACAGTGGTATTTTTTATTTATTTTTGTTAGTGCAACCATAGAAAATTCCTTTTCATGACATTTCTAAAAAAAAATCACTCAAAGATCGATGTTTTCTCGTGAAAGTGATTTTACCTTTCTTTCTTGTTTTGTTTCTTTAACTAAAAAACTTAAAACAAAATTGCCCCCAACTTTATTTCAGAAGTGAACCAAATTATATTGGGCGAGTCAAAGCAAATTTATGAGGGGCGAGAAGGGTTTAAAACACATGAAAATACAATATGGGGTAAAGTAATTACTTAAATGCATGTTATGTTGTAGTATTACGAATTTTATCAAATTTTGGTACGTCAAGATACATGTATCTCGGGATACAAGAACTCAAAATTAGGTTAATTTGTTCTAGATACACTATATTCAAGTGGATTTGCATGTATCTAGGATATATAGACAAATCTTGCGCCCTCGCTCGATGCATCACACGAGCCTCCCTCTCATCTCACTCACTCTATTATCTCGCTCGCGTATCTGGGATGCATTACACTAGATACATGTATACTAGATTTTTTGTTAGTGTTATTGAAACAACACCATTGTTTGCCACGTTGTTGATATTGGGTTTGTGTTCAGTGTACCGCTCTTTTTATATATGAAATTCCAACTTTTTTTAGCCCTTTTTCGTTTGTGCATTCTCATGCTTTCCGTCGGTCAACAACAACCTAAATCTATACTTCTTCACTACTCGTACAGGCTTGACGGAGTGAAGTTGTATTGAGGGAATTGTTTTGTCTCAATCAATCAAGTCCCATAGATTTCTGATAGGAAAGAAAAAGCCCAATTACAAAATTAAAAAAAAAAAATGTACACGAGCGTCCTCCTACATTGTCTCCTAGTACAACATACTCAAGAAAACAGTAGAACGTATTGATTTGACCCCATAAGCGGGGCCAAACATGTTACCGCCATAAGCAAAACCCCGTATAGAATCTCATAATTGTTCCAGAGCTACTAGAAATAGATTCTTTAACCAAAAAGAATTCAGTTCAGATGGAGGATATCTATACATAAGTTTTCGACCAACTTGAACCGATCCATAACATGATTCCATCTGTCCTGAATGAGGGAATTAAGGCGGGTATAGTCGAACTGAACTGCTTGATGATTTGAAAATCTTCTCACTTTCCTAATTTTATAGAATTTCAAGTTTGAAAAAAAAAGAAAAGACCTAGCCCACTCCTACCCTCCATCTTTCTAGGATTGGGTTGGGTTGGGTTGAGCATTTTCAGGCCCTTCCAAATGAAGGGTCGGCCCGCCCTAGCCCATCAAATTTCTTGGCTCGCTAGGCTTGGGCCGACCCTTTTTGACAGCTCAGAATGATCAATAGCATTACACAAATCACAACAGAATATTTTAAGAGAGAATTAAGAGAACATATAATATAAGATTAAAGAACCATTTCCAAGTTGAAACATTAATAAATTGGAAATGACATATACCTACATTTATTCTCCTACGATAATTAAAAAAAAAACATCTACATCTGTTTTTCAACCGTCTCCAACCCTAGCAGATCTAGGATATCAGATCACTGATTTACTTATGAAAGAATTGTAATATATATGAGATCAAAAAAGAAATTTGGGGTGCAACTACAAAGAAGTTGCAGCAAAAATATCTCAAAAATGTGAAAATTACAGTGTTGGTGGTGGCCTAGTAATCAACGAAATATATCTAATATAAGTGGGACGCTCAAAAGTATGCTAAATATATTTGATTTGCTCTTAGCTTCGAAGGGACGATACACTTTTGGTGAGCTCATTGAGTGGTTTGTCCGTTGATCGAATCAAATTGTACACAAACGCTCCGGCTAGGGTTCCGACGATTGGACCAACAATATATACCCAAAGACCTTTGTAAACATGCCTCACTAGTGCTGGACCAATACTTCTTGCTGGATTCATTGATGCTCCTGAAATTGGCCTGCATTTTTAATTTGATTAGATTTTTGCCAAAGAAAGGTTAATTTTTTAATTTTTTTAATTGAGTAAAACAGTTAATAATTAGCATACCCTGCTACAAAAACGTTCAAGGTTATGGTCATTCCCACAGCTATCCCAGATACATGTCCAATCTGCAAGAGTAACACATAGTATAAATTAAACAATCAATGCAGTTAACTTGATATAAGTATTAATGACTGATTTTACATATAATCTATAGCATACCGCTCGTTCATCTGTACCAACGCCTGAAATGACGAACATAAGAAGGAAAGAAATGATGATTTCGGCAGCAAGTGATTGGACATTAGATCCAGTTGGAACTGTACCAAAATAAGCTTGAGGAGTTACATCAAACATTAGAGACAGAGTTCCACTAGCCAGAGTCGAGCCCATTAGTTGAGCTATTATGTACAAAGGTACCTGCAACACATTCAATTATATTTTAGCGATAACAATTAATTTGATTATTATATACTGTCGATGCACAAAATAAAATTTAAGTTACATACTTCTTTCCAAGGGAAGCGACCGAAGACGCTGAAAGTAATAGTGACAGCTGGATTAAAATGTGCTCCTGATATATGTCCAACAGTGTAAGCCATGACCATAACAATAAGTCCCCATGTTACACATATCCCTGGAAACGTAACGGTCCCACCATAAAGCTTGTTCACTACAACTGAACCACACCCCGCAAATATAACAAAATACGTCCCTATGACCTCCGCAATCAACTGCAAAAATTAGCTCATCATGATCCAACTCATCAAATAAATCTACGATTAATAAAACTACTCGATACTGGAGCATTACAAATTATTTAAGTACCTTTTGACCGAGGACAACGACGGCAGGCGATGAACAAAATCCAACCTTGTTATTGGAGGCTACTTGGACATTACCTTCTTCCATATTCTGAGTGATTTGATCTTCTTTATTTGACACCATTGTTGTTTTTTCAATTTAATTAAAAAGGGAATAAGATAGTTATTATTATTATTATATAGTTATATGATAGTATAGGATAGGATTAGAGACTTTGTTTTTGTATGGTTTGCTGCTAAGTTGATAATGATTATGGTAATTGATAGAGTGTTGGAGGCTGGAGTTTATTAAGAAAATTGTACTAATTAATTAGATATAATAGGGGATTGGAGTTTTACTATAGATTAATATTGAAACTCCATCCAACACTATTTATCTATCTATAATTAAGAGTCCTCCTCCACTCAAGTCGCTTCTCTTTTGCAAACCTTAATAAAAAATGATAGAAAGAGTAAAAAGATATACTTGTATTCTTACGGTTTATTAGGATCGTACGTATGTGAAGAAAGTTTGAATCAGTATTTATCTCATTTTCCGTGAATATCTCAAATTAGTTCATTTACTTTTTCTTATTCACGTTTTAAGATAATAAGGAAGAGATATATTATTTACCTTCTCAAAACTAATTAATGGGGATGATTTGTATATCTATATATAAAAAACTTTTATCACGTTAATTAATTATACAATATACGTTGTCAACTTATTTAATCGCTTATTGATGGTAATTTAATATAATTTGGTCCAGTCTCCTTTATGGGAGAATTGATCGTTTAGGATGCCTTAAATAAAGGTTGAAACTAGAAAGATATCACCTTCACGTGGCTGGCTAATCGCAATCCACAAGTGAATCAGTCGCCTTTTTTAGGTTTTTATTTTATTGACCTATCCCACTCCACCAATTAAATCTGTAACATAGTAAGTGAATTAAATTGGTTAAATTACTTTTTGAGTTTGAATTATTTTTTAATTATAAAATAAAATTTAGTGATTTTATATGGGATTAATCTAATTAAGTTAAATGATTTTTTAAGTGAATAATTTAAAGTTGAGTAATCATATGAGATATTAACTCGAATTATTTGATGGAAAATTAAACCCTTACCAATAAAATAAAGTAAAAGTTCACGTATCCGAGCAATAAACAACTTTATGCATAATTTCTCAAAGTCAACATTTCCCTTTCCTCATAAAAAGGCACAAGTTTGGAGAAGGCCCCAAGGCTTCTCTAATTTCCAAATTAAAATAATAAGATGCCTCTTCCATATACATAAGAATTATGATTTTCTTGGTTCTAATTATTTTGTCAACATCCACTGTTGACGATAGTTTTTGAGCTCTCAACGGCTCAATGTTTGCTTGTATGACTGTGATTATTTTTTTTATGAAAGAAACGGCAAAAAAGAAATATTTTTTTCTGATGTACACGAGTGTGTGAGCAATTTTGTTTGCTAATTGGATTTTGAGGCAAATGAAGCAAACATATTTGTCATCTCTCTCTCATTCTTTGACACGTTTCAAGTCACTCATAGTATATTATATGTCTTGTTATGAAACTTGCAAACAGACAAATGCTAGCCAAAAAAAAACAAAATGAAATTAACCGCTAAAATTTCATAAATATTAAAGGCAGGCTATGTTTAAAAAAAAACACTTGGACTTTTGGACTGTGGTTCCATCAAAGTCCCAACAAACTACCTCATTCCCCACTACACAAATTAGGTAACAAAGTTAGTGTTTGGTAGAATTTAGTTGTCTAATACTCATCAAATCATACTTGTTAGTAAAGAAGTAACACCTGTAAATTGTTTATAAACTCCAAGCAGATATTGACACAAAGCCAAACAAGCTTCATTTATAATATACTTAATATAAACTGTCACCATCTAATTAAAGCTAACACAGGAGGTTGAAATAAAGAAAGCAATAGAAATTTGAATTACAAACAATTTGATCATCAATATGTAAGATTGGATGTCACAGAGCCCTGTGTTCCTTAGATATACATGATGCTCAATATAGTTACTCTAAAATAAGCTAAACAAGAATCACATCAAAGTCTAAAAATCTGAAAATAGCTAAGACAACATCTAAAATCACGTTATATAGAAAAGTAAACTTCCTGTACAGAATTGTGGTTTCAAGCATATCGCTCTAACGCATAATTACAATCACGAAAACCATGGTTCAAGAAGGAAGCTTCAACTAGCTGTATAAACTGCGTGGTTGTAATTTATGTTTACAAAGGGCAAGTTCATAAACTATACTTCTAAGACCTTATATAATTTTCCGAATTATTGACCACTAAACAGTCACCTGGCACCTATCTAATAGCCCGGACTGCCAATTTTCAGTATCTATCCAGCTTTTCCAAGAACAGAGAGCCAATCTCACACAAGCCCCTGTTTCAAAAGGAAAAGGGATACAGGAAGGAAACAAACAAAGGGAAAAATCTATCATTTCGAAGTAATTTTGGAGATACAACTAGGAACAGACAGATCGGCTGGAGTGCATACCAGCGCCCTTTGTTGTAAATGTCTCAAACTTTGTTCCATGCTAACTTGTACCATCTCAGCGAGCATCTCCTTTGCTTTTCCTGATTGCTCCTCACAATCTATCTGAGATATGAGATTGGACACAATGTTCTCTAATGTGTCAGGCTCAAGCTCAGACCTCGGGTAAGGAGTGTCTCTCAGCAACCTCAAAAGTGTTTGTGCTTTAGTCCGAGACTTGACTGTTCCTTGAACAGTCAGCTCAAGGAGGCCAGGAATCACACCTTCTCTGAGAATTGGTTCTCGGTATTTAGCACGGTCACTCTGACACATCGTCAGGAGAGCTCCTACAGCATGTTCTCGGCTTTGAGCAGATCCACTTTCAAGCACTTCTACCACTGCAAGTACTCCCCCATCTTCAGATATCAATGAATTCCTACCCTCTTCATAACACATCAAAGATTCTATAAGAGCAGTGCATCTTTCAGTAGTTTTTGAAGACTTTTTACAGGATTTAAGCAGAGAAACAGTAGAAGGAATTGGTTGTGCCCGCAGAATCAATAGTAGATTGTCTTGATAAGTTGACAGGTTGGAAAGAGCCATCACGGCATCGGCCTTGGCTTGTGAACTACCGTGCCTAATGATTTCCACTAGCAGAGAGAAAACACCAGAAGCACTAATTATGGGTTTAGTGGCAGGAGAAGCAGATAATGTGAGCAAAGCGGCAGTAGCATGATCCTGGAGAATTGCATTCTCTGATTGAAGAAAGCTAATGATGGGTTCCAGAGCACCAGCATCTATGATATTTATCTTGTTTCTGTAGGTGAAAAATGAAATGAAATAGTCAAACAACTAAGTTTGAAGCTCCAAAGATAAATACTTACACTACAATACTGTTTGAAGTTGGCAAATTCACATTTCGATATTTTGTTAGCTTAGATCGCAGAAATGGTAACTATACTTTCCTATCTGATGAAAAACAAGCAGTCCAGCAGTAACATAAACGAAGACATCTGGCTCTCATTTCATTAGGTTTATATAGTTTTTTCCAACTGATTTCCTCTTTATATTAAAATGTAGTTCTTTTCAAATTAAAATGATATTATAATGGATTAGAGTAGCCAAATTATGAAAAACAATAATCAGACTTTAGCTTCGATGTATAGAAGTCCTTAATAACTAGGACGGTCTACGGATTCTGTCACACAAGTCTACTCATAAGGAATTAATGGAAGCTAGAAGGAGTGCACAGTTAGAATTGGAGATACAGAGCAGGAAGCAATGTAAAGGAGGAAAGGACTTGAAATTTTATCTTGACACACAAAAAGGAAAGAATCTTAAACATGGTCATGACTAAGAATTGAAATGTCAAAATAGGGTATATTCCCCGCAAGAATTGGAACAATGAACAAATACGAGTAAGAGCGATAAACAGTACAAAGCAATCACCGAAATCTAACATAGTTTACAGCATACCAAAGTAGTGAGTCTAATATACAAGGGTCATTCCATTTTAAAATTAAAATTTGATATTCCCCATAGAGGATTATGGAAAGAGTAATCCCTTTGAGTGATCTGCAAAACTAATATTGCTATTAAAATATCAACAACCCTCGTACAATTGAATATTTTAATCAAGAGTAGAATTTCTATATCAGAGAAAGGAATCCAATCCATGTGATGGCTTCATAAACAAGATAAAAAGAAAGGTAAAAGTGAGACAAGCAGATGAGGTAAAGAATTTAAAAGAAAGCAGCATGTGGATAAAAGAACAGCCCCACCTGCAAATTTAAGCAAGCTGATACTTAAAGCATCCCGATCGAAAAGCATTTTGAATAGATATGCCTCTTAACTTTTACTAACTTTAATAAATCTTCAAATAGAGGGCAACAACAGTAGTATAATCTTTTAATGAACCAATCAAAAGTTGAAACTACTACAGTTACTCTCAATGTTCAGGCAATTCTTATCCTTGCGCATTTTGATGCTTCAAGAATCGGATTTCAGTTTGATCCTCATTCCATAACAAAAACAAAACAAAGGGGAATCTCAATGAAGCCCCACAAGAAAACAAGCACTTAAAAGAAGAACAAATTTCAATCTTAATCACTGAAAGTGGAATTTCTTTAAATACAATAAAGATCAATTCTAACGTCACACATATTTCCACAATCTGAAATTAAAAAATAGGACCATCTCTTACTTTTCCCAGCAACCAAACCAAACAGAGAAGGGAAAAAGAACACAGTAAACTTAACGAAAAAGGCAAAACACAAGAAAAGTATCAACTTCCCTCACTAACACACTGATTCCGAGGAAAAGTAGAAACCAAAAGCAAGAAAGTGACGGAAAACTGAAAATAAAAAAACTCACAAACCCAAAATTGGAATCAGAATTAAGCCAACAAAATTAAACATACCCTTCGTCTTTTACAGCGAGATTAAGGAGTGCAAGAAGAGCAGCTTCATTAGATTCAAAAGATTCCGAACGAAGCATATCAACGAGAGGTTTAACGGCGTTAGAAAAATGACGGCGGTAACGTTGAGAAGTCTTAGTTAAACGGCGGATCTCCTTAGCCGCCTGTACTTTCAAAGTGGGGTCATCAGAATGAATAAGAAAAAGGGTTTGTTGGACTGCGGAGGACG